AAAACTTGTTGTCTCTTGCATAAATTTATTATCTCCTATCTGCTGTCAAAGGTGTACTGCTCTTTTAGGTTATCTTGCACTTACAATGTTTTAATAAATTCCTTCAATCTCCCTACAAAACTACCGGCATCCACAGGCAGTTTTTGACTGCCTGTTATTTTTCTTTGCTGTTATGTTTTGCTACAGTAGTTTGTTTACTTTTCATGAGTGTAAAAATAATGCTTCAAAATAACACAAGTTTTGTATCACCCCTTACCAGATTTACAATTTCCTGTTCTCTATCAGGAGCTTTCTTTGCAGTAGCTCTGATCATCTTGGACGTCTGCATGTCAGACAACTTCTTGATGCAGCGCTGTCCAGCAACAAGGTTACAAACTTCTAAAGGTAGGTAGGTGTGTTTCTGTTCCTGTCCGACCTGAAGACAAGGCAGGTGGGGGAATCTACACACATACAAAAATAAAGCACACTGAGCTAAATGCAATCACATTTGGATGACCTGGAAACAAATAACCTGTCTAATTAGCTTATGAGGCCAGGAGAACCATGCTAAATTTAGTTTGGTGGAGAGTCATGGTCGATGCCCTATGCACCCCTAAATAGTGAAGATGCCAAAAAGAGAGAGAATTCTAAATTTAATAAGTACAGACCCAAAATTGCATAAGAAAGGAAAGGGGGAGTGAAACTCTAATTAAGCTTCCTTTAAGCAACAACAATTATGTATCTTAAGATCAGTGTCCTTACAAAAATCAAAGGTTATTTGCAGTGCACTGATTGTGACTGTAATTATTTCAATTACTATTTTGCCACATTTGATTTCCGATAAACACTAGCTTCATTAAGGACCCCAAAATATGCTGCAAATAAAATTGAATGATTTTGCTTGATTTTAGAGTAAGAAGGGAGGTTGTAGCTCATTTTTATTTGAATGTTTAGTTTTTGTCGTATACAAACCACTAAGTGGACAGAGCTCAGTGCAACACTAGTACTGTTAGGCCATTGACTTTTCTAGTATTGGTGGCTCCTAAAGGAGCCATTTGTTGTAAGCTGTTTAGTGCCTGGGAGCTTTCCAACAGCATGCTACCACAAGAGCATTTTCTGCAAGTATGTGTATACCCAAGCCAGTGATTTGGTACACTTTAATAAATCAATTTCCTCCTGCAGGAATCTTGAAATTCTATCAGTCAGCTCATCTTGCATCCTTGGCTTGGCAATAAGAATACGCAATTACTTTCCAACTATCTTTCTGAAGAAGTGCTTCAGCACATGCAAAAAAGGTCCAGTCAGTTAAAGGACGGAGAAAATTGGGGAGGGGTCTTTCACTTGAGTTGACATCCTTGCGTTGTCTTCTATTAACTAAAGGCATGTTAATTCTTCAGATTACTGCCTCATGAAGTTGATGCCCGTCTGGGTATATTGCTTGAATAGAGGTCAGCAGTTGGCTTGAGAGTAACTTGCGACTTTATATTAAGAAACTGATGTCCATTCCTGTATTTATATATTTAGTCAAATGTTGTTATAAATGGGAAATGAGGGACTACCACTGGAAGAGAAATCAATGTTACATTCAGTCACTAATAAAACTAAATTTTAAAAATACATGCACACTTATAAAACTCATGGCTCGCTCCCCAAATGGCCAAAATAAGCCCAAAACTGTACTGTGATTGGCTACTTAAGCAGGCCTTCTGATATTATGTGATGGTGCGATTTTGAACAATCCACCTCAAATCGCATCTGATCGCACAATTTATCAAAAATCGCATAATTATGCGATTTCATAAATTATTAATGAAAAATCACACAATTTTAACAAAATAAACCCTTAGTTTATGTTTTATCTGGAAAAATCCTGCATCTGCACAGCATTTCAAGATGGTTTGCCTTTGAAAATTAAGCCACAAAGACCTCCTACAGCAAGTGACTTCATAAATCACCAAAGTCCAAGGTGTTTTATGGCCGTCTGGGGACTGGTACTTAAGTTTTCATTCTCATAGAATTGCCTATTTGTGTAATATTGGTGTAACACAAACAATCCCTTGTTTTGCTTGGACCAATCAGAATTGGCGGTATATTTCAACAACACATGATCCAAGTGTTGTTTATTTCAACTGCAAACCGTACAAAACAAATGTCCTTCGTGGATAAGTTTGTAGTGAAAGTGCCCACTGTTTCTTTGACTGAAAGACAAAATCACACCTTCTGTGAAATTTAACTGCCAAAGACAGAGCCAGAAAAATACCCCTTCCAGGTGAATGACAGTCTGATGTTTTGTACGTCATGCAATGTTGTGATTGATCATCTTCAGAAGTCTGTGGTAGACAAGCACCTTAAGTCTTTCTTATCCCAATTTAGATGTACATTTTACGCAGAGATGTTTAATTATTGTTCCTTTGAGTTCAAATTGTCTGCCCAAAAGTGGGTTTCCTCTTCAGAAACCTAATAAAACAAGCTTTAAAAAGCTCAGGAAAAAATCACATAATTTGCTTAATCTAGCGCAAAATAGCCTGTTCTTATCCCATAATCAGCCCCGGAAAATTTCACTTAATTTCTGTTTTTATTGCACTCTGTCAGAAGGCCTGCCCAAGGGGGCAAGATGTAGATTGGGTTACACTTCTCTTGCCCACTCAGGATTGCCACCGCTTTTACATTTATGCCATATTAACTACTCCTTTATTGACTATAGTTATGCTTTGACATTTGCACACATTACTGTCTTGCAGTAGAAAGCTGGATAATTGAACCTTGTTTTTGTCTTTGCTTGATTATGGACCTTCTAAGCCTCTCCATCCATAAACATTTAAAAAAAAATCTTTGGATATTTTCCTTCAGTAGCATTTTAAAAATAACAAATGCAGCCTGAAACTATACCCTTCAATTTTAACAGTGGTTTCAGGCCTCATTTGATTTTTTTGTATCGATATTATTAATTAAAAAAAAAACTCAAAAAAATTTTCAGCCACCTGGACAGCAGGCATTAACATGCCTGGTCAATAATTTAACCCACCCAACAAAATTATGTACATGTAATTGTTTGACGTTAAGAGTTTAGAAATGTGTAAAACTTACTGGAGTTGTTTCACGTGTTTTTCCTGAAAATACTTTGCCACTGTGATCTCCTGGGCCTGCCCTGCTTCTGACTGCTTGAGAGGAAACTTCAGAGTTTGTGCTGGTAGTTTTGTGACATTGATTACCCGATACTTTCTCTTCGTAGTACCACAGTGTGTGATCTCAACCTTCAAACCTACCGGTAGTAAAAGAAATAAAATTATTAATAATTCTTACACATACAGTACATGTACATACATGTAAGTATTTCACAAGCAATCACTTTAGAAGTGAAGGTACTGTAGCCTGTCAGGACTCGACATTAAATTTTCAACTTATTAGCCTAGTGGCTAGTGACAACTAAGATGTTACTAGCTGAAACGTTTTTTACTGGCCAACTGTTGATGCTGGCTACATCCAATAACAGCAGTGATTACTGTACTAGCAAGACTTCAAAGCCCAATGCAAGCAACTCACGTTAATACATAATGTTGTTAATTAGATTTTACTTAAACCAGTTCCGATAAAGTTCCAGTTCCCAACAAGACTTTCAGGACTCTGTTTTTCTTTAAGAATTCCTAGGAAAAATATTGAGACCCCATGCCAAGATGTCATTGTAAAACCGTTGAAACTTCTTCACACACAGGCCCGTAAAAATGTTTCAAAAGCAACACATTTATCTGAACAATACTGCAAACTGTCATTACCAAAATTTGACTGCTAACAACGGCTAATTTAATGTCTAAGGAATCATTTCTCTTTCAACTCATCTAATAACTTCATCTGTAGTGGCAAGTTTTCTCAGTATGCATACAATGACAAATCACCCAGGCATGTATTGTCACACTAAATTATATTAAATGTTATTGCTTTTCGCAAGATTTCGCCCATGATTTTATCCGGAAGCAGTCAAATTTTATTCTATAAATTTTGTAACAAAACAAGAACATTGATATGTGCTTTCAGAAAATGCTCTCTTCTTTGTTAAATATTTCTTTTAACATAATAGCATGTTCAGCTACCCGTTCACGAACCACCCAGTGAAAAGTAAACAAACTTAAATTTGCATACAAATGTACATACAGCTGCTGAACAGCATGTGTCTGGTAACATGATACATGTATAGTATGTCTACAATGGAATTATGACCTTTCCGAGAAAAGTGTCGTTTGTCTTCCTTGAGGAAGACAGAAACTAGTTTGGCCAATTTCATTTTTTACTGTCTAGCCGAAGTGTCAAGTGGAAATCGAAAACCCTAGTTAGCCAAAATTAAATTTCTACCACTGTAGTCTGTGGCTAGTTGGCTACTGTTAGTGTCGAGCCCAGCTGTGCATCAACGCTATCAACAATCCTGTTCAAGGTCATGGGGTTTTCTCGAATGTGAGAAAAATCTCCTCATTTTATACATGTAAGTCACTCAATGGGAATATACATGTATGTGATAATTTCGTTACTGACACTTCCTTACAACTCTTTCCAGCTAGCGGTTAACACATAATGCCAGTACCTTTGATCTCCCTGGTGAACTTCAGTCTTTCTGCATCAGATAGCGGCTTATGCTGGTGAAGTTCCTGTTGCTGTTTACGAAGAACTTCGCACATGAACTCGACTACAGGCTGACACTTATAAAATGCTGTTGCTGACACTATAATCATATGAAACGAGAAAAAAAAAAA